ATAAAAAAATAAAAAAATAAAAATATATAAGCCATCCGATAGCTGGGCCAAATAAATACGCTATCGTCCTTTGATGAGATCCGCTTTTGAATTGCTCTCTCACACATACACTGACGGATACACTTACTCGAAATTCAAGTGAGCTCATCAACTGTAAACCAAGCTATTCCTCAAAACCAAATTTTCTCTGTTTTTTGAGCCCTAATGTACATTTTTAAAGGGAAAAACGAGCTTTACCCGATGCTGACGGAGTCGCGTCACTTCTCAAATATTGTACATCTGAGCGTTGACAAACCAAAAGTGTTGGTAAATTTGTCGGCTTTTCTGAGCTCACGGCAGTCGTCATGATGAGGCCAAGGTTCCGGCCATTTGAAGTCACATTTTTTAGAAACAAGCTTGCTGTTATTGAGTTCCCTTCTTCATGCAGGCCAAAATGCAGAGCCCACATTGCGGCTTCGAGGTCGCCCCATTTCAGCCCTGCTCAGGTGGGCCTCTAAACGTGAGCCTCTTCCGATTCAGAGCGCCACCAACTGGTTCCTCGATCCGACAAACATGGCTCGATTAAGCCCCTCGAGTCACATGATCATGGCAGGATCCGAACCATGGTTATGTGATTTCCGAGACAAGCAAGGGCAAGATATTTGTCAACTAATCAGCTGCTTCACTATAAGCTGTATGACTTTATTAGTCGCAATGAACAAGTTCAAGCGATTCTCAGTAAAATTGAACTAAAAACTGTAATTCTTGAGCTTTCTTCCATTTCGGGTGAAAGTGTTGGGTGAAGAGATTCAAAGGTCGGTTCCACCAGAAGACGACGGCCAATTCCTCTTGACCAGCTGTCGATTAGCTTTACTGGAACATTCATGCTGTCGCTGTTTCCGAGGCAATTTCCTTCGATTTCGGTGAAAAAGTGCTAAGCTTTCGTTTGTCATATGAAGAACATCATCAGAGCGGGGTAACATCGTCACAACAAAATTGAAGCTAACGAGTCAAGAAAATTCTCCGACAAACCCCTAAAAAGTGGTATATATACTCTACATCTGACCTCTTCGATCGGGTATAAAGTGATTTGGTTAGTTACTGTCAGATGTTCACCTCAAAGCCTTTGAGTGTGTCTGTTTGTATGTGTTCGTGCTATGATGATGTTCATCGTCGGCTGGTCAAGAGGGATCAGCTGTCGTCTTCTGATGCAACCGACCTTCGAGTATCTT